GGGGTCGGGAGTGGGAGAGATGGAACGGTACCGGGTGCTGGCAGCACCAGCATGAGAGGGTCCGATATGGCCCGGTTCTAAGGACAGCACGTTTTTTTTGGGGGGGGGGCGTTTGTGTGTGTGTGTGTGTGTTTTTGTCGTTTTGTCATTTTTTGTTTTGGCGTCATTTCTTTGCTCCGAAATTACACGGGCTCTACTGAATGCCTGATGCGTGGTGGCTCTTGAATTGGGGCGTGACGCTATGTTTTCCTTCTGAAGGCGGGTTTGTGTTAATTTTCGCGTGCGTTGTTGTTGTTATTGTGCTTGTCTTGCAGGCCATCAAGGCCTTGAAGGAGGAGGGCATCGAGGTGGTGCTCGTCAACCCTAACATCGCCACGGTGCAGACGTCGAAAAACCTGGGCGGGGCATCTCCCGATAGGACCTACTTCCTGCCGGTCACCCCCGAGGTATGCATACAGAGTACCGCAACAGAGTGTAGACACTGGTACATAACCACAACAGTTTGGCATAGACTGATACCGTAATATTGTTTTGACTGATACCCCAATGGGGGTGGAAAGACCGTGGCCCTCAACATTAGTGTGTATGAGCTTGTTTCGTACCCCAATTATAATACAGTGGGGGGCCCGATATAGTGCCGGGTAGTGTTCAGAGGGGAAAGCCGCACTATAACGGGCGCCGGCAGTATTCAGAATAGTGCCTCAATAGTACTGGTTCGGCAGTATTGAGGCTTCGAATATCCCTCAGTAGTGCCGGTCCGGCACTAACCGGCACTACTGAGGAGGCGGTGATTTCATGGTGCAGCGCTCAAGCTTTGCGGGGTCAACAGAGTACGATGTGGATCGTGGATCGAAAATGAGTGCAGTTTTACTGGACGTCTAAGTCCTCGTTGCCCTCCTTCGATGTTGACCGATAAAAGAAGGCAACAGAGAGAAAGAACGACGACAGGAATAGCACCGAACGAAAAAATAGCTACCATTACTACTACCACAGCTGTTCTTCCCGCCCTCGCAACGTAGCAGCAGCTCTCTCTCACGTGTGCCTGGCGCACCCCCTTGGATGTTACAAGAAGAAAAAAACAAAGAAAAGCACGACAGGAAGCGCACCGAAAGAAAAGGAAACAACAATTGCTACATACTCCGTAGGAGCAACAAACGCTCTCATTTCTGCCTGGCGCACCCGCTTAGCGGAATGCGCTGCAATCATTGCCATCTTCGCTTGCGTTAGGAAGAACGCCGCGTCTCCGTTGCCACTCTCATCTGCTGCCGCTTCTAGGACTCTGAAGTGAGGCGACAGCTCAGCATAAGCAGGTGGAGCACGGCGCTCGGGCCCCGTGTTGTCATCGCCACTGCCCTCCTCTTCGTCCTCCTCCTCGCCGCCTGTTGTCACGTGCGTTCCGGCCAGCAGTGCCGCCATTTGTTCCACTGCGTCCAGTCGAAGAGCCGCTGCCACCTCATCGTCGTCCTCGATGGTAGCCCACCCTGAATGGCGCTCACCGCTTCTCCTTCGACCGGCTTTCCGATCCTCCGAGGTGGAAAGGTACTTGCGCCTGGGCAGGAGCTTCTACTGGAGGCCTATCTCGTCGACGTTGAAGATGAACCTAGCCGGGTACTTCGCCCAAAGGGCCCTGATTTCGTCCATGCCCTCCTTGATAGCCGCCCTGTCGACGCTACCAGCCTCGCCATGAAGTCGCACGCTGTGGATGTTGTTGCGCTTCACGAAGTTCTTTGCCCATTTCTCGTCGGCCTTGAAGTCCTCGACCCTCGCCCTTACTGCTGCAGAAGTTTCGGTGTCAGCCAGCAGGGTTGTCCTGGCGGAACGGCCGAAGCTTCGAAGGACATCGCGTGTGACGGGCATCTTGGCCTTCCGGGCTTTGGCGAGCAGATAAAGAGCTATCGCATCCACCTGCCGCCAAAAAACGATTAAACAAGCAGAAGGTCTTACCATTAGTTTCGAACATCAGCATGCATCCTACACTGCGCAGCGCGGTCAGGCGGGACAATACAGTAGTCGTACCGTAAAGAGAGACAAAACAAAACACACAAAAAAAATGGAATGGATTATGGACATCATATCTGCTGTACATATAATACAGAGTACATAAAAAAAATAAGAATAGGAAAGACGCAAAGAGGGGGACATCACCAGCGGACTAGTCACACAGAAAGGAAAGGAGGATGAAAGCGGACATACATATGTGAGAAAACNTTAAACAAGCAGAAGGTCTTACCATTAGTTTCGAACATCAGCATGCATCCTACACTGCGCAGCGCGGTCAGGCGGGACAATACAGTAGTCGTACCGTAAAGAGAGACAAAACAAAACACACAAAAAAAATGGAATGGATTATGGACATCATATCTGCTGTACATATAATACAGAGTACATAAAAAAAATAAGAATAGGAAAGACGCAAAGAGGGGGACATCACCAGCGGACTAGTCACACAGAAAGGAAAGGAGGATGAAAGCGGACATACATATGTGAGAAAACCGAGACAGACAAACAATGGACAGAAAAAAAAAGAGAGACGACATGTATTGTACCAGTGAAAAAAAAAATGAAGAACGACGAAAAGAAAAAAAACAGTGACGAAAACAAAGGCCAGTGAACAGCGGCCCGCAACAATTTTGTAAAAATAAGGCGGGGAACAGAAAACTCACCTCCGGAAAGTCTCCCTTGCGCGCGGTTTTCTGGGTGCCGCCGCCTGCAGCAGTCGCAGCCTCCACCTTCTTCCTGTCAGCCTTCACAGTCCTAACAAACCGCTCCGAGCACCCGAAGCGGTCTGCAATCTGTACTTGAGAGACCTTCGCATCCAGCAGCTTGAGAATCTCAAGCTTCGTGTTGTTGTCCGGGCGCGCACGAACACCCCTTTTCTTGCTCCTACCGCTCTTGTCCTTCTGACGTTTAGATGGTCCCGCCCCAGCACCGTCAGCTGCTGCCGCTTTGCGCTTGCCAATCCTGGTAACGCACGTGCTGCATATACGGTACGTCTCGATGTCGTCAAACACGCTGCCGCAATTGCCGTGGAGCCGCCCTCCACATCCGCCCTGGCAGCCGTGGCCATGGGGGTCTTGCGGCGTTCTGTCCTGCTGAAGGCACAGTCCACCTTCCGCACAAGGCATGGTGCGCCTCTGCTTAGAGCTCTTAGGGTCTGCAACAGCAGGTGTACACTCTGTCACTGTGGCGTCTGTCCTCTGGTGTCGTGGTGTGTGTGTGTGTGTGTCTACAGCAGTAGTGAACCGGCACTATTGGGGGGCACAGCGGCGCCCAACCGGCACTATAACGGGCCATCCCTCAATAGTGCCGGCCCGGCACTACTGAGGGCGCTGTCTGTGTCCAGAAATTTTACCGGCAATATTCCGGGCACCGGCACTATAGCGGGGCCCCCACTGTAGTACATACACTGGAACCCCGATAGTGTATACACGGGTTTGTAGGGGGCATCGTTTTTCGTTCCATGAAACACCGCATGTATGTCCCCGCCATGTTTCAGATCGTGGAAGGCGTGATGATGAAGGAGAAGCTCTTTCCACCTTTTTTGTTTTGGTAACAACCGCATGTATGTCCTCCCCATGTTTATGGTTTTGTTCGGTGTTCCAGATCGTGGAAGGCGTGATCGTGAAGCAGAAGGCCATTCCGCATTTTCGTAACAGCGCATGTTGTCCTCGCCATGTTCATGGTTTCATTCGGTGTTCCAGATCGTGGAAGGCGGGATCATCAAGGAGAGGCCCATTCCGCAATTTGTGTCTCAAACACAGCATGTATGACCCCGCCGTGTGCATGGTTCCATTCCGTGCCCCAGATCGTGGAAGGCGTGATCATCAAGGAGAAGCCGGATGGCGTGCTGGTATCCATGGGGGGACAGACGGCGCTTAACTGCGGTGTCGAGCTGCACAACGCCGGGGTAAGCGCCTTTTCGCTGTCGGGGGAGGGGGGGTCCGCATTTATACCTTTTTTTTACGGTGTGCTATGCTTGCTGATGGCGGTATATGGTTGGCGTATCGGTCGATGTCACAGGAGAAAGGTCGACCATACATGAACTTGTTTTGCTTTTTTCTCGTCCTTGGAACGATTGGAGCGAAAGCGCCCCCCTTTTTCTCACACCCCCCTTTCCTCTGCAATTCCTGCTTCACCCTGTTTTTTCGTCGTTTTTTTAGATTTTCGAGAAGCACAACGTCCGTGTGCTGGGGACCCAGATCCCGGTGATCATGGCCACCGAGGACAGGGACGTGTTCGCTCAGAAACTTCGGGAGATCAACGAGAACCTCGCTCAGAGCATTTGTGCCAGCAACATGGAGGAGGCGCTCGCCGCCGCTGAGAAGGTGCTTGTTGTGGTGCCAATTGTTCTGGGCGCGCTCACGTTTCGGTAGATACCATTTCTCACGCCGCGGAGAAGCTGTTTCTTGTCGCGCCAATTGTTCTTGACGCACTTATGTTTCGGTAGACACCATTTCTGACGCCGCTGAGAAGGCCTTCCTTGTCGCGCCATTCGTTCTGGACGCGCACACGTTTCGGGGTGAATTTTGTGAAGACGTGGTATGCACACTGTACTACACCTTGTACTTCATACACTCAGCCACCATCTCCACGTTTTGCAGAGTTGCGAACCATTTCGTGGTGCTTCTTGGAAGAAGAGAGCGAATGTTTTGCAAAATGTCGCTGTATTTTGTGATCCTACTTACGGAATTTTAACGGGTGACGGTGAGCGCGAAACCTTGCACTTTTTTTTCCGTTTTTTCTGTCTCTGATCCAGATTGGCTATCCCGTGCTCATCAGAGCTGCGTACGCCCTGGGGGGACTGGGGTCGGGTTTCGCCGAGAACGAGGCGGAGTTCAGGCTGCAGGCCAGCAAAGGTTTCGCCTACTCGGACCAGCTCATCGTCGACCAGGCAAGCGGCAGGCATCTTCCAAAGCTGCTTGAAAGTGCTTGATTGCAGTGTTTGCAAGCACTAATAGGAGCCTTTCAATGTTGCTTGGAAGTGCTTGACAGCAGTGTTCGTAAGCACTAAAAGGGTGTTCTGATAATGTACCCTTCAATGCTGCTCGGAAGTGCTTGACAGCAGTGTTTGCAAGCACTAATAGGGTGTTCTGATTATGTAACCCCGGATGTGGTCGGGATGTTGTTTTGCGTTTGTTGATGTGGTTGGCTGGACCCCATTCCGATGTGGTTTTTGGTACTCTACCATCTGATTCTTCGTTCCTTACCATCTAAGTTTCTTCCCATATCAAGAGGTATTTCGTCCCGTATCACATGGTTTCTTCCGATACCAGAAGATTTTTGGTCCCGTAACATAGTGTAGCCTATGACTTGTGTTCCTCCATACCATCTGTTGTTTTGTTTTTTGTGTGTGCGCCACCTCCGACCAGCTACCATTTCGACCAGAGAAAATGAAATCAAGTGTCGATGGCGGGTGGGTTTGACGAGCGAGACGGAAGCAAGGCCAAATCTGGTCGAACTCCTCGGCGAGTTGTGACAGTATATATTAGTAGAAGTAGATAGATGCCCCGTCTAGTGCATTCGATCCCCCCAACGATGGTTCGAGAAGCACCCTCTCGGCCCACTCTTCGATGTGTTGCCGCGTCTCTTCATTTGGCCTCCCTCTTGTCGCCTGCCCTCTTACAGCAGTATTTCCGATGTCTCACCTTTTCTCGTATCGGCATTCTAGTTTTGTTCTTTTCATTCATTTACGGGCGTACCATACCCCCCCCCTACACGTTTGCCGTGTTCAGGACCTTCGTGGATGGAAGGAGGTGGAGTACGAGGTGGTCAGGGACAACAGGGACAACTGCATCACCGTCTGTAACATGGAGGTGCGTCGGTGCTCTCACGCACACGCGTACGTGCTGCAAGTACCGCGATCCCCCAATCGTTACTATGGTACATAATTGTAGACTTTGTGGGAGTTGTAGTCTCGCGTTCGCAATATTTGATTTGCACACCTCTTGTGGCTTTGCCTAAGCGCCGTTTGACCTGCCCACTGTGGACTTCCCTGGCAATGTCCGTCCGTTAGTTCCCCGCAAAGCTCTTTTTCGTTCTGTTCCTTTTTTCGGAGAATGCGGTAAAACACAATGGTGATCATTGATCTTACTTTTCTGTTCTTTTGCCACGATCCGATGGTGTTGTTTTTTTTCTGTGCGTTTTTCATCTTCTCAAGAGTTTTTTTTTTTTCGTTACCCGCGACGATCTGATCGTGAACCCTCTCGTTCTTGTTTCTTTGATTTTTCTCTTTTTCTGTGCGCCTCTTCTCCTTTGCAGAATTTCGACCCCCTAGGCGTGCACACCGGCGACTCTATCGTCATCGCTCCGAGCCAGACCCTCTCCAACAGGGAGTATTTCCAGCTCCGTCGGACTGCCTTGAAGGTGATGCTCTTGGTGATGGTGTTGATGGTGATGGTTCGTTTGCTCTCGGTTGCTTGCTCGCTCCCGTTGCCCATTGACCAAGAGTCTTGAGTTGGGGGTTCTTGTTTATGTTGCTGAAGTTGGAGCGTTGGTGTCGTGGATTTTTTTTTTTTTTACTTCGATTGAAAGGTATTGAAATGTGACCGACTGCTTTCGTACGACTCGCCTGTCGCTGCCGTGCTTGATTTGGGGTTCTGGTTGGTTTGAGTGCAGGTTGTGCGGCACCTGGGCGTGGTGGGAGAGTGCAACATCCAGTACGCCCTTAACCCAGACAGCGAGGAGTATTGCATCATCGAGGTGAGTCAAGCAGACGCCCTCACCATCTGACTGACCTCAAATTTGCAGGACTGTACTGCCCAAACCAATGAATATGTCATAGGTGTCAAGCTTGGCGTCGTGGGTCAATTAAGGATTGACGTCGGATAGCGGCCTCTCGCCATGTGTGTACAGGACTGCTTTACTTTTAAAATGTGCGTTAATCTTGCAATGAGTGTTAACTACTGTACAAGCAATCATTGATATTTTGTATCAGTCCGTCAGACGGCCTCTCCATCCGTTTTCTGTACTGCCCAAGCCACTAGAGACAATGACTAATTCAATAACTGCTGTACAATCAGTCGTCGAGGTGCAACAAATACCCTCATCCCCGCCTCGTATGAATTGCTACTTTGTCTTGAGCTCCCCCGCCCCCCCCCTTCCCCGGCGGATTACCTCGACCTCTCTTGTTTCAGGCATGCGTTTTTGGTTTTCTTGTCTTACCCCCTCCCTATCGTCGCCATTGTTTTCTTTCTCTTTGCCTTTTTTCCTTGATGTGTAAGGTGAACGCTCGGCTGAGCCGATCGTCGGCCCTCGCGTCGAAGGCCACCGGATACCCCCTGGCCTACGTGGCCGCCAAGCTCGCTCTCGGGATCGACCTCGTCTCCATCCGGAACAGCGTTACCAAGGTACCGTCACATGTCGGTCGTTTGTATCTGCAGCACCTATTTTTTGTCTGTCAGGTCCGTCTTTGTATCTGTAGCGCCCTATGTTGTCGGTTGGGTTGGTCGTCGTATCTGTGGCACCCTATTTTTTTTTCTGTCATGCCAGTCGTTGGTATCCGCGGCACCCTGTTTTTTGTCTGTCGGGTCGGTCGTTGTATCTGCAGCACCCGATTTGTTTGTCTATCATCATGTGTGCCTACAGCACCGTTTTTTTTTCTAACAGGTCGGCCGCTCGTATCTGCTTGGAGCCGTCGACACAGATGATGGCGTTGTCAAGCTCTTTTTTCCAAAGTCGTCCAACTACGCCTGGATAGCCGCCGTTCCGTCTCGCACTATTTAGTACAAGCGCAGTGGGCTTCCTGCAAGCTCGCCCTCACTTCCCCCACATTCTGGCGTGCTCTACCCCCTTCAATACTTGACGCCCAACCCACCAACCGGTGCTGTACAAAATAAAACAGTCCACGACAGCTTGCTTCGAGCCGGCCCTGGACTACTGCGTCGTGAAGATGCCGCGGTGGGACCTGAAGAAGTTCGCCAAGGTGTCGACCAATCTCGGTAGCGCCATGACCAGTGTGGGAGAGGTGATGTCTATCGGCCGGACGTTCGAGGAGGCCATCCAGAAGGCCGTCAGGTATTACCCCATCACTCACTGTCAATGATGTTGCGGTGCCTCTGCTGTGTACGGCTGGCACTGCTCTGTTGTGGGCGGCTGAGTCCAGCTGGGTACGGTAGGCTGCTCTTGTGGGAGGCCGGATCCAGCAAGAGGAGCAAGCGTAAGGAGGCATCCGAAAAGCCTTCAATCAAGCCTGTAACGCGAATTTTTTTTTATCATCCCCGATGGTTGCGTCGGCTTTTTCTTCTCCCGTGGGTGGCTGTTTTGATGGGTAACCGTTTGAGCGTTATGGTTGTGGCTTGTTGTTATTGGGTACCAGTAGTGTTTTTCCGGTCTTGGGGGAGATAGGGTGAGGTCGTGCCTACGCCGAAGGTTCCATGGAGAAGATCATTCGGACGTCCCGTCAATTTGTCTGAGGAAAGATTGCTGCCCTCCAACTGTAGGGAAAGGGTAGCTAGCTCCTATCGCTTGGACCACGATTCGATCTGTCCATCATTCACCGGAAGCACAAGCGAGACCACGGTAGTATACGACCCGTCGATTATCCACTGCTGTTGAGAGGCTGAGCGCAAAACGTGAGTACGCCTCCCCCTGTCCCCCCCCCCCCCCCC